AGCGCTCCCGTGTCTGGGCGCGGGCTCTACGCGCGCTCTGATTGGCCAGCGTTTTTCGTTAATAATTCAAAAACGAAGCTTCAAACAACATTTTGGTAAAGGAAAAAGTTGTTCAGAGTCACCCCAGCAACCCCCCAATACAGGGTGTTCGAGGAGTTACGGGACACCCTGTATAGTTTGATAATGTAGCGTGTAGTTCAATAAAACCCCAGCAAAATTTAATCATATTTGTTCATATTTCAGCTATGAGAAATTCTATTTCGAGCAATTTTTCAATTAAACGAATCAGGAAGAATTTAACCGATTGCCTTTGATTCATTTTTGTCAAATTTGATTTATTTCTGCCCAATTTTATTATCGACACTGCCAATCTTATCAAATTTCAGATTTATCGTCAGCGAAAGCGGCATATTTTCGAAATTGATTATCTTCGGCAAATCTTCACAGAGAAGAAATTTTCATCAATTTTTGTACGAAAGAATAGTTCTCGTCCATGTTTGTCTGATTAGTAGAGTTAAAAAGAAGTCTTTCTTTTTTAAATTTTACATTTTAACATACTTCTGCGGCCCGTCGTTTTAATTGCAATTATAGCAAAGGCCGCTAGTAGCGACGTAAGAATGGAGTTTCCATTGACAGAAGGATCAAAGATACCTACCTTCCTTTTAAGATTCTTCACGACCTCCCTCAAAACGGAATTCTGCTTCCTTAATAAAACCAGTTGCGGTTCATCCTTTCTGTCTTTTACGGTCCAAGCGAGATACCTGAGATTCCTCATGCTTTCTTCGAAGAAGTTTCCCCGTTCGGTCATGTTCTTCAAAGCTGTTCCGGAACGGATACATTCAACTCACACAGCAGAGGAATCTGAAAGTGGCGGATAATACTTACCTTCCGCCGCAAGTTGACAGACAGAGCCGACATCCACGTCGAAACGTTTTAAAGTTTCAAGTAGGTTTGCCAGCTCGAAAGTTCGGTTTTCTTGCTCCCGTTCGCAGCCTTGATACGTTCTTACACGTCCCTCTAATCGGGTCACCTATTAAAAGAAAACTTCGATCCCTCACGTGAAACATTCGCCCAACTATGTATCCCGAAGAGACGAGAATGAATGTTAACGTTTCAATTATTTTCACGTTGTAGCGACGAATTTTTTAAACGTTTCTTCTCACGTAACGACGACGATTTATCGCGGAAGAAAATTGCCGAGTACAGATAAAATAATTGTTACAACCGGCAGATTTGAAAATGCTTTAATCTGCAGTTACCAGGGAAATGATCGATACTGGCGTCCTTCGTTTTTCATTTCGTAATTCTTCCCGGTTCCGTTCCAATCTTCCTTTGAAATATTGCAACGATTCGGAAATGCCTGTAATTGCCGGTACATTGCGCGTTTCACGGACTTTTCTCGCCCCGAAATTACCAGTCGAGATGAAATTTTTCCTGACCGAACCGTGTCGCGTGAAAATTCGGGTAATGCGATTGCTATTTAAACACGTGCCGTTAACTATGTCACGGTGGTAGACTCTGGACAATTAGAATTGCATCTGACTCAAATTTTTGAAGTCAGTATTTTTACTTTTGCGACCAGTGGGATGCGTGCATTCCAGTTGAGTGCTTGAAAAAGTATTGATTTATATTCGGTATCCATTAAGAGGAATAAAAAATTACGAAATGGAAGAGATATTGAAGGAAAGAAATTCAGAAATTTAAAAAAGAAAAGAAATTAAGAAATTAAAGAAAGAAGAGAAATTGAAGAAAAGAAATTAAGAAATTGAAAAAAGGAGAGAAATTGAAGGAAAGAAATTGAGAAATTGAAGGAAAGAAATTAAGAAATTAAGAAAAGAAGAGAAATTGTAGAAAAGAAATTAAGGAATCTAAAAAAGGAAGAGAAATTAAGAAATTAGACAAAAATTATTCAGTCGCGAAAGGGTTAAAACAAGAGAGTCCTTTGTCACATTTACTAATATTGGATAAAATTCTATTCGCATACTAATCGTTGTTTCGCGATTTTCAGACGTGGCGACTTTCGCAAACGAATCATTTAACACTTTAACGGTCCTCATCGGGAACACCCTTTCGTTTCCTCGATTTAGGGTTTGTATCTGCTGGGAATGGTAACACGTTGCTACTGTTTCGTTTTCGGTGGTCGAGGTGGATCCAGGCCCGTTAATACGAGCGATCGTAAAACTTCCGTGTTAACTTCGTTTTACGCCAGCCCACCGTTGTCTAGAAAATTGCTATGTCCATGGACCGATATCCCGGGAGGAGCAAAAGAAAAAAAAGAAAGTCAACGTTGGAAGAGTTTAGGATAGAACGAAACGTACGGAGATTAATTAAATACCTTTGATATTAATTGCAGGAAAATTTACGATTCTAGGTATTGAATTTTTGGCTGGAAAAAGTTGATAATTCTACGCAAAGTGTAATTAAATTGGACATGATGAAGTAACGGTTAGTATTACCGAGTTGAAACTAAAATATACGGAGAGTAACGAAATACAAAGATTCGTAATATTTATTAAAATAAAAATATTAAGTGATATTAAGTAAATTCGTAATATTTGTTAAAATAAAAATAAAAATATTACAAATATAAATAATACGAACGTTATACCTACTACGAATATTCGATGCTATTCGTGCCCGAATATTTTTCGGAGCAACTGTACGTGATGTTTAGTTATGGAAATCCGAACGAAAACGACAGTTTCCTATTTCTATCTGTTCTGGCAGCAGACATTCAAATTTCGTCGAGATACGAAGAGATTGTTACGACGTCGGAACGTGAAATAGAGTAGAATGGTAACTCACATTGTGTGGATTTAACTCGAAAAGTTCAATTCACCTTTGATGCACACTCTACAAAGGCTAATGACGCGGTAGTAAAAATTTTACGAGTCGAGGAAGAATTCTAAACTAAGAAACTCCGCGAGAATCGGGTGTGCAGGAGAAGGTGGGACGGAATGGGGTGGGCAGGAGGAGGTAGCATGGAATGGTGTGGGCAGGAGGAGGTGGCACGGAATGGCGTGGGCAGGAGGAGGTGGGGCGGAATGGGGTGGGCAGGAGGAGGTGGGACGGAATGGCGTGGGCAGGAGGAGGTGGGGCGGAATGGGGTGGGCAGGAGGAGGTAGCATGGAATGGTGTGGGCAGGAGGGGATGGCACGGAATGATGTGGGCAGGAGGAGGTGGAACGGAATGGTGTGGGCAGGAGGAGGTGGCACGGAATGGCGTGGGCAGGAGGAGGTAGCATGGAATGGTGTAGGCAGGAGGGGATGGCACGGAATGATGTGGGCAGGAGGGAGTGGGACGGAATGGGGTGGGCAGGAGGAGGCGGATGAGTGGAAAAGGAGGAGGGGCCGACGAATGGGACGAGGAGGAGTGGCCGAGGAAGGGGAAGAGGAGGATCTCTCTCATTTTTCATTTCTTATTCGATAAATTATTCAACGATTACTCAAAAATCTATTCGAACCTTCCTACTTAATACAGAAGCCACACCGTGGAAACCGTTGATTAATATAGATGATTGAACGTAATTTCCTCTCTTTACTTCCCCTCTCTCTCTGTGTCAAAGATAAGGAAGTACGTACCGCCACAAAGTTATTGCATCTGACGTGCCCCCTGCAGAAATTGCGAATGACGTTTGTCTGACATACTCTCGACGGCAATGAAAATGCGCCGTGAAATTTCCCGAAATTCGTGCCAGCAAAATTCTCTCCTCTCCGCAAGGGAGATTTTGTTTAAGGGCTCACAAACAGCCTGGCGCGATAAACTATGTAGAGAAGTAGCTGATGAACATCGAAACTCCTTACTGCGACGTTCAATGTTGCAATAAATATTCAAATATTTGGCATTCAAGTGCGTTCGAAAAACGGAGAAAATTTGCAGAATCGAAAATTCCAAAATTACCTTTGCATCGCGTAGAAAATAATTTCTCGTCGTAATTAAAAATAAATTGATTATGCGTATACTAATGATATCAAACAGCTGAATTATAGATGCAATTTTACTTAACGCCAGAGTGAAATTAATAGCAACGAAGGGGAAATTAGGATAGAAAGCCCGATTTCGTGGTGTGTGTGTGTGTGTATATACGAGTCGCTTGAAATTCGAGGTCTGCTCGGACATTGCATATTCAAGAGGCCAACGAGAAAAGGTGACGACTTCGATTTCGCGTATCAAAAAGGCGACGTTTCAAAGGGCAGACTTTTTACGATGCACCGCCTGTAAAAAGGCTGGCTACAACGGCCGGAGTGAATGCATATCAATTAAAAAAGTGCTTTGATGTTGGTTTACGGTGCATGTAGCATCGCTATTGCATCCGGAACTTTCCAAACTACTGTCCGAGCTAGCAAGGAAAATTCGAATATCCCCTGTAGCTTTAGGTTTTTTTTTTGTTTCGTTTTTTTCAGAGGGAACTCGTTGGGGGACATTATAAAAAACAAAGTAACTTTCGTTGCGTAAATTGTGCATCGAAGGAGATGGTTTTTTATCTTCTTTCGTTGCAAGTAGCAATGTTGCGAAATAATGATAATGCTAACGACTTTGTCCGTTGAACTCGTTAAAGTTTTAATTTTTCCTTTCAGATCTATCCTACTTTCGTTGCGTTTGCACCAATTCAGGCGAAAGTTTTAACAAGTCCCCCCCCCCCCCTTTTTTTTTCTTAAATACCTTTTCACGGGCTTCGTTGTACAGTTCGACTATTTCGTGAAATTGTCTTCCCGCAGTTTCTCGGGTCGTCTTCAAAATATCCTCGCATTCTTGTTTCACCAGCGTTATCGCGTTGTCGAATTCGATCTTACTTCTGAAAGCAAATCGATCGATCTGTACAAATCATCTTAATTAGAGAGGAAACAACGAGAGAGCAATTCAGGTTTCCGATCAATCGATGCTGATTGTAAATTTGTTACCATTCTGCGTTAACTGTTGGTGTAACGACCTATAGTGATCTATCGTTTGTAAATTTGTGGTATAATTTCGACGTAATCATCTCTATTGCGTAAACAATTTTAATAAAAACGAGAGCATAGAATGGGGGAAAAAGAATGAAACTAGGAGGGATTGATTTTTCGAAATATTCTTAGAGTTATTCGATCCGCTCTTCAATTTCCTTATTTTCCCTGTGATTGAAATACCCATCTCCTTTTCCCTCGTGTAATACAATTTTTCAAATGATATTTCCGAGCTGAACATCGTGATTGAATTTAATGCACAGGAAGTTTCATACATAGTATGATCGATTTAACTTGTGTACAATCATTTTTGTTGTATTTACCTTTCGTTCGTTTCCACGCGGAATCATACGTCTCAGTAACAGCAAGCTGAAATGATTTTCGCGTGTTTTCCTTGTTTTCGTAGAGTTTAATCGCGTTTCGTAGAACGTCCAGCGGAATTTTTTTAAAATTTCGCCTTCATCAGATTTGGCGTTTTATCCCGTTGACTGTTGCGCGAAAAAACACCGGTAAGAACAATGGGAGCTTTTACACCGTAACGACACTCTGTGTGTTCCCATTCACGTTAAACAAGCACGAATAACATTCGCGTAAATGTATAAAACGCTGCCGGCTTTGAGTTGAAAATTTGGTTGATGAAAATCGCATTTTCGTGCTGGAAAATAATACTTCAAAGGACGCCGCCGTGCGTCACGACGCGACATTTTCAAATACTTTAACGTCGACGAGGACCTACGCGGTATCAAGCCCCGCCCCGAAAACTCTTCTGAAACTTTCTAATTTCTATTCCGGCAACATGTCTACCACATTTTCCCGCGGCTTTCCCGATGAGGGATGAAAGTGCATTATAAAGTTGGAAACGACGGCGATACTCGAGAAATGCTAAGGGTACAGGGATAATTTCGAGACGGAAATTCAGTCATAAAGAACTTCAGCTTTTTCGCGGGGGAATCAATCTTCTGAAAGTTTTCGACATCGATCTTCCGGCGACCCTCGAGCATCGACGCGGTTCCACAGCTGGAAAGAGCGAATTTCGTGTTCGTTAATGTTTCATTTTCATACTTCGGTGCTGTTAGATCGTAAAATTACGTCTTGCTCTTGAGTCGCCAGAAACTTTTCACTTTTTTGTTTTTGTTTGCTAGAATTTGCAAGTTTGTCCCTCAAGCGTGGATGATTGCACGTTTCATCCGCGCGATTTTATTGTTCTACCGTGTATATCGTCTTTAGTTTGCCATATGCGACGTAGAAATCTATAATTTTCCACTTTTCAATTCTTTTTAGTACCACAAAATATTCGACCAATAGGAATTTAGTTAACCCCACTGCGTTCTTACGGTGTCTGGGTCAAGAAAGACTTTAGGTGTAACAATTTTTCTTACCAGCGCGCAATATGAACACAGACAATGGACTTTTAATACAACGTTAAGGGAACATAAACTTAACGGTAAAAGTTGTTAAAAGAATAAGAAGACGATGGGTCCAAAATGACCCGAAGACCGCATTAGGATTATGTTTATTCAGTACACACCTGAGACATTTTCGTATTCAACACTTATACTTTGCAAAGATATACCTAGTCGAACAATTGCAAAACGTCTTCACTCAATTAAACTCAGCGAAGTCGGTGTCGTTTAACCCTTTGACACGCTACTATAACTACGAATTAGAGCGAATAAAATTCATATTTTACACGTACCTTTGTGTGATTATTTCTAAAGCACGGTGTACATAACCCTACGTCGCACTTCTGATAATAATATCTCCACCCTTTCTAACTTTCCTCCCAAAAGTCTCTCTCGAGTTAAACCGTTCGTTATTTAACGCACTGGCCGAGTCTCACTCAGGGATAAACTGTCGAAGGGTTAATCGTGGCGAAAATTAACCGTGAACGCTACGGCGCACAAACAGGTACCGTCATTAGTTCCAAATCCTGTTGCTAATGTTCAAGATTCTCCTGGGAAGTCTGCATACAAAATAGTTCACGCCGTTTATCGTTTATCAACAGAACAACGCAGTCATGTCTATATAATTGGATTATTCGTTTCCAATTCTCTTTGACGAAGCTAATATGGTTCGTCAGATGTCGCCTTTAATAGCGTCACAGTATGTTCGTTCGTGCGTAGTTTCACTGTGAAGGTTGTTTGATTGCAGTTCGTAACGCGTGTAGATTACTCGTTACAATTATTATACGCATCAAATCATGGTGCACTGTGTATCATGCTTCCAGGCTATTTCGCTACGCAAGTAGAGATTGTTTATCGTAGGACCTGTCTGTGAGCTCGTACAATTATCACAGTTTACGACTGTTATTAGAGGAAACAGCGGAAAGGGGCACGATTAAGAAAGAACAATAAACTGTCGCGAATTCGAAGTATACGAGATTTTCATAGGTAAACGGTATCTTCGATTGTAGAATCTAATTGCTCGATTGCTTGCAATTGGAAGGTCATGACAACAAGGTATCGAAATTCCTGGGATGCTGTAATTTCAGTTATAGCACCACGGAGAGGTTATCAACTCCGCTGCCATTGGATACTAGACTACTGCTATTACAGAAGAACTTTCGCGGTGTCTCCAATTACACATTGATCATTGGGGATTGCGCCGGTTTAACACGCAGAATTTCACGTTTGATCGTTTAATTAGAAATTGTTTCGTCGTAGAAATCTTTCGTGTAACGTCAATATTTTAATTATGGAACCAACCATGCTTCGTGAAGCATTTAAATACCCTCACAGAGAGATTTTCTAATAAATATACAAATATATTTTATTTTCTGTATAATTTTATTTTCTACTATTTCTAAGTAACGTCAATATTTCAATTAGAGGAGCATTTAGTCGTGAAGAATTTAAATAACTTCACAGAGAGATTTTCTAGTAAACATATAAATATATTTTATTTTCGAAGAATTATTATTTATTTTCTGTAGAATTTTATTTTCTACTATTTCTAAGTAACGTCAATATTTCAATTAGAGGAGCATTTAGTCGTGAAGAATTTAAATAACTTCACAGAGAGATTTTCTAGTAAACATATAAATATATTTTATTTTCGAAGAATTAATTTTTATTTTCTGTAGAATTTTATTTTCTAATATTTCTAAATAGATACGATTCTGATGCTTCGCGTTAAGGCAACATCTTGAGAGGAGATCTTAAAGTTTCGTTCGTTCCCTATTTCAATCTCTTAGCTGCACGTCGTAGGTGCGATGTTTCCAACTTAATCGACGCCCAGACCATTTGTTGATACACCTTACAAGTTTGCAGCTTCCTGTCAACCAAACAAACGTACCACAGGCCTTCCAACGTTGTCACAAACATGACCTACCTTCCGGGCAGCGCATGATGCAAATTTCAGGCGCGCTTCTGACCGAACAGGAGATCGGTGCTGCGAGAATAATTCTACCGTGAAACCGGTCCTTGATTTACCGCGATTGAACAAACTGTTTGCCACAATGAAATCAATATCAAAGCAATTTTCACTTTTTGGTCCGGTTCGAATTCATTAGCCTCCGGAATAAATTTCGACAGTGCGGTGTACAATGGGAAAAATTTCATCTGCCACGCAAATTCGATACTCGCGATTTCCAACGGTGAAAAGGATTCGCGGAAATATCTCGGAGAACGAAAATACATTTTTTCTTGTATTATCAATACAACGAAACGTCTAATTTGAGTCGATGGCCCAGCAAATTTTTCGTCGATTAAAATTCGCAACGATCACGAAATTACGAGCTGGAGCAAAATATTACCGCCAAAATTTCATTGACGTCAAAGAGTGTTATACTGCTCACGGGATTTGTTTCGTAATGAACGTTTAAAGCTACAGTAAAAAATACACACTCTGGTGTGGCCAATAAAACGTTTCAAGCTTTAATATTTATACTTCGTAAAACCAATTTTTATTCTGGAAAGGTGCATCGACGTAAAAATGTCGAAAAAATGGGAATTCGGAGCGGTTTCACGATACTTTCTCGAAAACGCGAAAAATTGTTAAAGGAAGTACAAAAATGGAAATACGAAATTTCTCGCAAAAAAAGTAGATAATTTCTCTTCGGAAAGGGAGAAATACGTATCACTTCCAGCTACACGAATTTCAACAGGAAAGGTGGGCGTTGCAAGGTGTTCCCGATCAAGTGAGAAACAGCACGAAATTCTTTATGCTGCGGTGTGCACACCAAATTTGCACGTTCCTAAACGTTCGCGATCCTCCATGGTTATTTATCAAACGGCAATACAATCAGAAAGAGCGTGCCAGAGTCAATATTGTCCGCTTGAAAATAAACTCTTTCCACTCGCCGCCTAACTTTCGCGACGATAAATCTTTCGGGCACGGTGGAATGATTTGCTCGTAAACTGGTGTAAAAGTTCGGTGGTGGAAATCTTAAATGGAAATGAGATTTGCCTCGATGATTTTATCGTGCTTTCACGACGGCGCATCCCGTTCCGTGATTATGATCGAAAAAGAATTCTCCTCGAGCTCGCCGAGACCAGAATAAACGTTCCGTAAGACCTTCAATTACTTCGAATAGAACCGATCGGGTTTCCAATTTAGCGCAGTTCGATCCTTTTTCGTGGAGGATATTGTTGCTCAATTACCCTCCCGCCCTTGCTCGTTTATATCCCAGAAGCGACGAGATATCGCCCCGGCTCTGTTTGTCCCGTGAAAGAAGCAATTTAGAAGAGTTTATTCATAATTTCTGTATCAACAGTGGGCGACGACAACGTTCATCAGGACGATTGTAGTTCTGACGAACGGGTAAACAATCGTCCGTGTGCACGTATTTCGTGTTTCCGCGCGACTGTGATTATTCGTATAATCTCGTAAATATCGGGCTGAATAGTCAGAA